AACTTTCAGTTTGCCAAACTAACTTTTGAAAAAAATGTATCCAAATACAAATTTTGTTACAACAACTGACTTTTACTAAACTGATTTTTGCCAAATGAACTTTCATCAAACTAACTTTTGGCAAATTGAAAATCAAACACACACTACGTTACTTGGCTACTATCTAACTTTGCTTGTTAATTGCTTATTTGAATTTCTTTTAACATTACTTTTTAAATAGTTAACTAGCTAATTCCATAACTCTATAATCTTAAGAGTATTACTTGTTAATTTTATAACTTTACTTGTTAATTTGTTGACATAACTTGTTAACAACTTAATTTGACTTATGAATTCTTTACAAAACTTGTTCACTCAATTTGATTGAAAAACACTATTATTAGTTATTAATTTTCTTACTTCACTTGTTAATTTATCAATATAAGTTGTAAATTACTTGACTCTACTTGTCAATAATCATACTAGTTCATTCATTTTGTCTGAACTACAAATTCATTTCTTTCTTTTGTAAAAAGGCATTTTAGTATTTTTAGCCACCAACTTTATTTCAATTCAATTCAATAAAACCTGCAAAGAATTTTCAAAATTTTTGGGATCTACTAGTTAATATTTTTCCCTTAGTCCTTAGCTGAAATCTTCTTTAAAAAAGTGTAGGATAAAACTAATTAAATGTTCAATATTTCATGTGAGAGCAATGGTCACTTACACTCCAAAATAACTAAGTTAATATTAATATAGTATTAATGGCAACCAAGGTCATTCTTCATTAAGGAGGCTAACTAAGGTTAATTAAGACTAACTAGTAAACTAAACTAATAAAGGATTGATTGATTTTAACTAATTAAACTAATTGGACATATTTAATTAAAAATCAAATTAACTAATGGAATGGAATTGTGAGTGTTTAACCTATTTTAAAGTGGAGTCTTAGGAGTTATAGGATGCTAGATTCCTTGTCTATTCTTATTAATTAGGCTTAGATTAATTTTCACTTAAACCTGTAACATCCTAGGAATTTAAACCTGATTAATTAAGTTTAATAAGGGTTATTAAGTTAATTAATGTGGTGTGTGGCCAGCGAGGTCTAATTTGGGTAAATGATTGTGATTTTAGCCCTAAATGTGAGTATGAAGTGAAGTTGGGCCACTAAGGCATCAAAAGTAGAGGAAAAATTGAAGAAAGGTCCTCTGTGCCACGTGCCATGGAGTGAGGAACATCTGCTGCGGAACATAAAGATAAGACCATAATGAAGAACCTCTCTGTGTCATGTGCCGTGACGAGAGGCCACAAGCACACAGCCACATGTTTGCATAATTGGATTTATGTCTGTGCAAAATATCAAAAGTGAGGAGAAAGGGAAAATGAAAGGCACGAGACTACTCTGCTTAAGCATGTGCTTAGGGACTAGTAGAGATATTAAGAAGCTTCCTAACACATAAGGTAAGTACATTAATGTCTTCCTCTACTCTTTCCTTCATTTTTTTTATAAGGAGTTAAGTTAGAATTTGAGTTGGAAGAGTGGCCATAACACTGCTTGAGATACTTTAAAACTTCTCTAACATCTTTCCTTCCTAGACTCCTTACAGAGTTAGTCTCTAATCATATTGGAATCTACTTGAACACAATCTTTCTACAATGACTGAATGATACTCATGAACACCTTGAAGATTTTAAGGCCAAACCAAAAAACAAAGCATTAGATTTTGAAGTGTGAGGTAAGAGAAGAAGGATGGTGGAGTTGGATTAGGGTTTTGATGGTTAGATTATGAGATATGGAGGAGAGAAGGTAAGATGGAGATGAAGAACATGGAAAACAATGGAAAGGAGAGGAGAGTGGCTGCTGGATGTGAAAATGCTGAATGGAATGGAGGTGTGTGCTAAAAAATAAAATTAAGGTAATTTAATTCAAGTCTAAAGTGAATGGCCCCAAAACAAGTGTTTAGGGTTTAGATGAAAAATGAGCTAGAGTAATTTTATTCTTTATTATGGTAAAAGGGAGTGAGTTGGATGAAAATTCATAAGGGAAAAGGTTTGGAAATTTTAATTAAAAAGAGTGAAAAACAATGAGAAATTAAGCTAGAGAGTAAGTGGAATCAAGGTGCATTACAAGGTGTACAAGACCATGTAAGGTTTGTACTTTCATCCCAAAACTCAAGTGTTTTATCTCTTAACTTATATAGTATTCCAATCCAATAGTCCTTATGTGCCAAATCTAAGAGGTACAAACCTACACAAATAAATGTGACACACAAGATCAAAGTTCAAAACATATGAATAATAATTGCATTTACAATTAAAATTAATTCATAAATATGTGGTAAAATGAAAATTAAATAATAAAAATCAATTATCACATCACAAAGGAGGCTTTGGGGTGTGCTATATAGCCTAAAAATTGTAAGCCCACACATGCACAAAAATAACTTAGCCTAAGTGGAAGAAAACAAATCAATCCGAAACTTTAACTTTTCAAAATAGTTAACTTGTGAAATTAATTACTTTTAATCTAAAATGAATTTGAGAAATTTAATTGTACCATTATTCTTCTGGACTAAAAATGCATCTTGACTAATTTTTTTCAAATATTTTCTTAAAAGTTTAATTTTATGATCAAAATGGATGCACATAATCTTATACTTTAGGGATTTTTTACAATCAATGCAAATAAGTGTATAATTTGAGTAAATATAACATGATTTTTAGTCAATAATAGTAAAAAAAAGTGTGTGATAAATGTAACTTATCAACATGTCATTAGCTTCTATGTTCTTTTTCAGTGGTTTGATGTGGAATTTTTTGTTAATTTTGACAATAATTTTAATGGGTAGGGATTAGTTATCGAAATCTAAAAGTTTTGAGTGTCCATTTTAAACTTATGAAGTTATAGGTTATATGCAACTCATTTAAAATTCAGGGAAATTACGTGCCTTTTAGCCAAAATTTAAAACGAAAAAAGAAAACATTTTTCCTTTTTAAATTTTAATAAGAAGGAAAAACTAAAATAAAATCAAACTTCTTTATCCTAGATAATCTTTCTTTAAAAATCAAAATTTTAAAAATAAAAAAATAAAAAGTGTCATAAAAAATAAAAAATAGTTAAGAAAAATGACCATTAATCTTTTGGGTTAATTAGCAATATACACTTTAAATTATTGCGTGAATAGCATCTAAAATTTTAAACTCATGAAATGTTTTATAACTTTTCTCTATTTTAAAATTCTAAACACATAAAATCTTATTGTTAAGTAATAGAAAATGATTATTACTTTTCAAATTATGGGGCCCACTCACAACTGTTGTTGGTGTGTAAGTGAGACTCACAACTTGAAAAATAATGCTTATTTTTTATTACTTAACGATGAGGTTTAAGTGTTAGCAATTTAGAAGTTAAGAAAATTTTTTATACATTTCACAAGTTTAAGATTTAAGATACTTTTTGCACCATAATTTAGGAGGTATATTACTTATCAATTGTAATCCTTTTCTAGATAAAATCCAATGGAACAAGCAAATCTTATCTTTAGGAAATTTTTGAATCTTTCCAAAATGATAAAATAAAAAAGAAAGAAGATAATAAGAGAAGCACAAAATAATACTCATTAAAAATAAAATATAAGAAAGCATAAAAGCTCATTAAAAGAAAAAACTATGAATAAAAAATAAAAAGGAAAAATAATGATGAATGACTACTTGAAGAAATTTATATCAATAAAAAACTAATTGTTGTAAAAATTCGAATGAAAAAAAACCTGAATAGATTAATTTTAATTTAAAATAAATTATTGTTAAAATATAAATAGATACTTATTGATAAAAGATAAACTTGAGTCAATAAATATCTATTTAAGTTTTAATAATAAATAATATTTAATTAGTATACATTTTTTTTAACAATCCTTGTTTGATATTTTCATGAATAAAAATAAAGGAGAGTGTTAAACGTTGAAAGATACGGCGTTTAACGCCTTGATCCCCAATTTGAAAATCCCTAGCCTTTCTCGATCAGGGTATAGCAGTGAGGGGAGGCAGGTAGACACTCGAACGATCCGCCAGCCTCACTCAAAGTTCCAGGAAAGCATTTTCAGTTCACACTCCCACCTTCTACATCAGACTCGGTGCTCATCACATTTGCATTGTTTAAATTAGTTTAGATTTAAATTTAAAAAATTAATTTTTTAACCCTCCAACTGTTAAATTATTTATAACTCAATCCTTTAATTATGACTCGCCTATGACTTAATCTCTCAACTTTTGAATCACTTATAAATTAGTCCCTTAACTTTTGCTAATTTTTTTTCATGTTAGTTTATATCTCACATCAATGAGTAAGAGGAGGGTATTTTAAAATAATATATAAGCATTTTTTATCTCTCTTATTTGATAAGAAATTTTTTTAAAAAAATTTAAAAAATAAGGATCGAGTTATAGGTGAATCAAAAGTTGAGGGATTGAATCATAGTGAGTTATAGCTGAAGGACTGAGTTAAAAGTTGAAGAATTAAAAGATTAATTTTTCCTTTAAATTTTTAATTTTTATTTTATATTAAATACAAATTTATAAAAAAATTTAGGGGGCAAAATTTATGAAATTTTTAACAAATATATCATTACTAATAGTAACATGGACCAATCATATTTAATCTAAACTATCAAAATTTAATATTAATTTTTTAAATTTTTAAAAATAGAAATTTCATATTCAAACCTTTCAACTTATAATTTTTTTAAGAAAATCGGTAGGTTCTTGTTAAAATGTTATATTTATTTTAAAATTAATATTTTATTTTTTAAAATAGAAAATTATAAAATTATAAAATTTTTAATATTAAATTTAGATAAGATTATAGATTGTGATTAGTGATTTATTAAAATTTTTTATGATAAAAAATTTATAAGTTTTAAGTTTTTATTTTATAAATATAAAATAAAAAAAATGAAAGAAATGGAAAAGCTTTAAATCTGAATCTGACAGTCCCGATTTAAAGGAATTTTTCTTTTTTTAATTTTGGGTTATGTGCTTCGTTTTCGCAGAGCACGGCGCATCAGCGCCTCCTTCTTTCTGTGACCTTCACCGCTTCACGTCTTCGCAACTGAGAGCAAAGCACGGCACCTCCTTCCCTCCTCCATAATAATTTGAATATTCGAAACTGAGAGCACGTTGCTGTTCGTGTTCGCTATTCAGATCACGCGTTGTTCGCGTTGTTGTTCGCACTCGCCGTTCAGATCAAGGTTCACGCTACTGTCTGCTTCTATCGCTTTGCTCTCAAGGTTCGATTTACTTTTCCTTATACTTTGGTTTGATTTTGTTCGGAGATCTAGAAGCGGTTGAATCCCAAGGCTCGATTTTGATGCTGGTTTTTTCTGTGAATGATTGAACCCCCGTCGCGTTGCATCGTGCCTAATCCGTTCGCCGTTCTCGCATCTTACTCGCTGAATTCTGAAGCTTGCGTGCCGTTGTTGCTCTGTCTCTTTTAGGTAACTTGGTTCTCTCTTGATTTCCTTTGATGAAATGCCGCATATTTTTGGGTGATTCTAGTAGTAAGAAATTTGATGATTTTGTTTCTTCATATTTGTACATAAGGTGCTTGATAAAAGGTCTGATAGGAAATTTTATTATAAATTTATTGGATTTACATGTTATAACTAGGAGGTGAAGTTGTTTTCATATAACTTCAAGGAGCCATGGTTAAGGTTAAAAGTGAGAAAAATTTGGTTGTATCTATTTGAAAAGAGTTGGAAAACATAAGCTTAAGCATGATTATTGTGTTGGCTGCGAATGGAATTAGAGAATTTGGGAAAAGTATTTGCTAGGCAATTTCAGGATCAAGTTGGTTTGTTTTTATGTTTATTGTTAGGTAGATGTAAAATGTTTGATGAAAAGTTTGAGAAATGAAGTCAATGAAATTGGATAAACATGAGTGGTAATGTTGAATAAATCATAAGTTATTTATCTTTTTACTTTGAGACTTGAAAACTGTAGATATTGTTTAGATATATTTTGGAGACTTATGGATTAAACATGTTATATGTGAAGGGTTAAGGTTGAGATCTTTTCTAGTCTTCTAAATTTTATTGGAATGAAGATTTTTGGTTTAAAAATTGTATAAAAGAAATAACAAAGATGATACTTTGGCTGTTAGGGAATAAAAGAGCGGTCAATAATCCTTTTGAGGTAACCTTTTCGAGGGCTTCTTCTTTCCCTGATTTAAGATACCATAGTGCAATTTGGTGACTAGGTCTTATTCCTTTCATTGATTGTGCCTGTTTTGGAACCCTAGCCTTGCAGCGTGGAGGACAATCCCCTAAGTCGCTTCTAAGATTTCTTTTTTGATATAGCGAAGCTAACCCTAAGAGATGCCTCAGAGGCACTCAAAGAACAACAATGACCTAGCTTTTTTCACCTATGAGGAGAAACGAAAGCTTGGGTATGGGACCCAGAAGGAGAGGCTCGGCAAGGACTCAATTAAGCCGTTTGATGCTTGCTGCCTCTGCTTAAAACCTTTCATTGATCCCATGAGCTGTCAGAAAGGCCATGTATTTTGCAAAGAGTGCATTCTGGAATGCTTGTTGTCTCAGAAGAAAGACATTCAGAGGTATGGTTGCTTCACCTTCAAATTTGATTTCTGTTCTGTCTATATATTTGATCTATTAAGTACTTTACACATTTGAACATGGAATTGGAATTTATGATTTGAAATTTGACTGGTTTTTGCTGTTGCCCTTGTCCATTGTTAGTCTAGCTTTAAGCGGGATCTAATAAAGCTTTTGGTACTTGAATTTGTGACATGGTTTGTTCTATATGATAAATGGGTTTAATGTTTAATATTCGGTAAAACTTCAACTAATAGCACTTCTCTAAAATGTTTCATTTTTGTTGGTTTAGAATTCTGTATGAGTTTGTAAAGCATATAGGCATGATTGAAAGACTTTGCCACATTTTAGCTTTGACTGATTTTTGTTGTTGCCCTTGTCCATTGTTAGTTTAGCTTTATGCAGGATCTAATCAAGCTTTTGGCACTTGAATTTGTGATGTGGTTTGTTCCATGTGACAATTAGGTTTAATGCTTAATATTCAGTAAAGCCTCTGCCCTCAACTTATCACACTTCTCTAAAATGTTTCATTTTTGTTGGTTATCTTCATTGGTATGTGACTAGGATTGGTGAATCTACAAATGTTAGATTGCATTTTGACTTAAAAGAGAGTAAAAATCTAGCAAGGTATAGGTAGCGTGGTCTTCAATTCTTCTAGTTTTCTCATCATCTCCTTCTTGAGTTTGTAAATGGTATCACTAATAGAAGTCTCGGCAATTTTGGAAGGCAACACCATATTGTAGTTTCGTGCTCGTTGTGGTAATTTAATTGCCCAGTATAGATTGTTGTTGGTTGTGATTTATGAATGGGAATGGAGGAGTATTATATTGGTTTAGCTCTGTGGAGTGTTGATGAATATGTGTATCTTCTGTGGAGTGTTGATGGATATGTGCATCTGCAAAGGTTAGGCTGCATTGAGACTTTAAAGAGGGTAAAAATCTAGCAAGATAGAGGGAGGATGCTTTCTACTCTTCAATGCATAATACCTCCCTGAATTTCATTAACATTCACACGTAGTGCAAGAGAGGAATTTTCCTTTACTCTTGGCTATATTAATTGAGACAGGAATTTTGGAACACGGCAAAGGTTCTTTTCTCAGGTTAGGTAAATGGGATAGGAAAACAAGGTCACCCTTGATAATAATGAAACTTGTCTGTTGTTTTCTTTTATGTATAGACGTCACTAGTGGGATGTAAAATTATCTATGTACATGGTTGGCTGCTGCTATAAGGATTAACAGTTGACATAAACCAATGTCAATTAAAGATTAAACTTATGGATATTTGATAAAATGCATAAAGACGGACTAAAACTGCTTGTTGATGTTTGCTCTTACCCCCATAACATTATCTCAGTGGTTTGTCTAGGTCTTGATCATCTTCTATTTGAGTAACACATCACTTTTAATTGCTGAACTTAGGCTTAGCTTGGATGGAGGGAAAAGTGGGAAGAAAATAGAGAGGAGAGAAAACTAATATGGGAAATTTCCAAAAATTGTAATTTTTTACTATTTTTAGAGTTTTCGTTCCTCCCTATTTTTCTCCTCATTCAAATGAAGGGTTACTTTGCCGTGCTATATAACAAGTGATGTGGAGCAGCCAAAAGCGGGCAGTGCTTGCTGTTTGTTAGCCCTTATAATATAGATAACTTCTCTTTTTCTTTATTTATGAGCTTTTGGAAGTTATTGATGTTCTTGTTTTATAGTGAAAGTAGTAGTTTTTTTTTTTTTTTACCCCTTTTAATGTGTCTTTCTCTGTTGTAAATATATTTATATGTTTGTGTGGGTGTCTCAATGGTTTGGCTTTATCATTTTCTATTCGAGTAACGCATCATTTTCTGTTGCTGAATTTACCCTGACATGGAACGGCCAAAAGCAGGTAATGCTTAATGTTTGTTGAGGCTGTTTGTTAGTCCTTTGTACGGATAACTTTCCTTTTCTTTAATGTTTAGTCCCTTATCCCAAAAGCAGGAAGTTATTGATGTCCTTGTTTTAGAGTGAAAGTAATACCTTCTGTTTTTTATGTGTCTTTCTCTGATTTGATTACCTTTCTGTTATTTAGTCAAATACCAGCCATGCGGTAAATATATTTTTTTGTTTACGATATAAAAACAGGAAGCTTGCTGCCCACGCTGCACAGCAGAAGCAGGAAAAAGAAGAGGAAGAAGAGAGATTGATGCTGCAAAAGGCCAAGGAGCTTGATGCATTTGATCAGCAAAATCATGGCGCCCTGCCCCAATATAGTGACAGAAATTATAGTCAAGATAAGCACGGTTTTCATGGGGCAAACAGTGTGAAGGTCACAACCTATGAAGAGGAAGCTCTCCGGACGATGAAGGCATTCTGGCTGCCTTCTGCTACGCCGGAAGCTCCTGTCAAAGTAGAAGCACCTTCAACTAGCACAACTTGTCCAGAAGGAAAGGAGAAACTCAAGTTGAAGACTCTCTTTTCCATTCACTTCTCTGAAGATACTAGTGAGCAGAAGAAACCCAAATCTCTTGATAGGACCTATATCTGTCCTAGCTGCAAAGTTACTCTCACCAGCACAATGTCGCTCGTGGCCCTCAATACATGTGGGCATGTGTTTTGCAAGAAATGTGCTGATAGGTTCATGGCTGTGGATAAGGTTTGCCTTGTTTGTGACAAACCTTGTAAAGAGAAGAATCTGGTGAACTTGGAGAAAGGAGGGACTGGGTTTACTGGTCATGGAGATCATCTTGAAGCCAGAGACTTCAAGCATTTGGGAAGTGGTTCTGGATTGGGGCTTGTTAGACCTGCAACGAAGACATGAATGAAGCTCTATGAACTTTGCTAGCGCCGTGCATGCAGGACAAAGACCTTATTTATAGTTTCTTGAGTTTTTGCTGTCAATTGTCCCTGCTTTGCTTTATCGTATGTAAACTTGGATGATTTTAAAATTCAAGCTTGGGAAAGTATAAACAGAGTTGTACTGATCTTCGGCTGTGCTCATAGGATAATTTATCATCAGGTATGATTAATCTCTACTATTTTTTTTTATTTTTGATTTTTCTCTTTATTCAATACATGGGAACGGATCCCATGCTCATTGTGTGTTTCCAATCTTTGGGAAGAGGGAGGTGCATAAAAAGGCTTTTCATTTGTAAAGTATACAATTGTGTTTTTGTTTGGCTCTTTTAAACTCCGATTCAATTCCGCTGCCACTGTATGATTTTGTTTTCTTGGTTGAAATGCATTTTGATAATGAATGTTTTATTTTTTGGCTTATAAAAGAAGTTTTTTTGTTTTATATATTTATTTATATTTATTAAAATAAAAATTTATAAAATTTTTTTTTAGCAAATTTATTTTATCACCAATTTAAACAGTTCAGATTTAATTTGGATAGTTTGAATTTAATATGAAAATTTTTATAATTTTATAAATTTATTATCTAGATTTATTTTAAGTATGGTTTAAATTTAAAGTTTCTAACTTGTAATTTTATTCAAAGAATATTTTGCAAGTGCAAGGGTGTTATTTTTGTTTTTAATATTTTATTTATCAAAATAAAATTTATAAAGTTATAAAAAGATCAATATTATATATGAACTGTCAGAACACATCTAAGTAATTAATTTATAAGAATTGAAAAAAAATGTTAAATTAAACCATTTAAATTAAATATATATATGCAAATGGGTGACAAATAGATCTATTAAAAAAATTATTTTGATGAACATAAAATCAAAAGAAAAAAAACTTTAAATTTGAATAAACATGTTTGCGTGTTTTGCTGATGACAAGTCTTTTTATACGTCATTAAATGAGACACGGTAAGGATAGGCTCACTTGCCACTCCACCAGTGTAACTGCAGGGATTTGTTCCCATATTAAATATAATGCTTAGAGGAATTTAAAAAAAAATTTCAACCATTGAATTAAAAAAGAGCTAATAAAAAAATGTAAAAGTTTTTAAATTTTTCTTAATTAAAAATATCTTTTGAAAATTAATATTTCAAAGTTCATTTTTATAAATTGAAATTAATTTTAATAATAGTACTTCATTCATTAAAAATATAAGATATTTTTAATATTTTAAGATATAATAATTATATTTTTTTAAAAGTGTCCCTTATAAATAAATCACTTTATATTTATTTTAAAATAAAACACCCTATTAAATAGGGGTAAATTTTAGAAGATAATGTTAGTTTGAAACAAGTAATTACTTTATTAGAGTAAAATTTAATTAAAAATATTTTATATTTTTTAATAGGAGGAGTAAATACTAATATGCACTCAATTTTCAACAATCATAACTTTCTTATAAAATAACCAAAAACTCAAATAATATATGATAATCAAATACCTATATAGATTTGGGATCCACCTGTGAACAGTATATGAACAGTGTCACCTAAGTGAGATACTTTTTAAGTTTTTGTTTTTAAACTCTTTTAATCAAATGCTCAGATACCTCTATCAACGGGAGACTCATACTGCTGGCCCTAAAAAAGTAAAAATTTTCACTTTGGATCTAATACTTTCTGATATTGCACTATATGCCCAAGAGCCCTTGTTGCAATTTACTTAAAAGTGAAAATACAATTTTACTCTTATATGATTTAAAAACTTAAATCATGGATAAGACAATGTTCATGGATATATAACATGATGTCCTTGAATGTACAACACAATATCCATACGTGTCTAGTTGATCTATAGGTTAACATATATATCACACAGAGCATGTACAACAAAATATTCATGAATGCACAACACAATATCAATGTATATTCAATCGATCTATATGTTAATTAAAATAAAGTCATATAGAGTATGCACAATATGATATTCATGGATATACAACATGATATCCATAAATGCACAACACGGTGTTCATACATTCTCAACACAATGTCCATGTGTGTTCATCCATGGACATTTATTTGAGAATGCATGAACATCGTAACACGAACGAATATTGTATTGAGAATATATAAAAATCGTATTGTGTATCCATAGACATTGTATTGTATAATGTTTGCATCAATTGTACATTTTACTAAACATACTTATCAATTAGACATGTATATATATTGTGTTGAAAATTTATGAATATTATATCATATATTGATGGACATTATGTTATACATGATTTGAATTTTCAAATTATATAAAGATAAAATTATACTTTTGCTTTCAAAAATTGCAACAAGAGCTTTTAAATTTGCAACGCAATTGCAATGTAATTTCTTACTCTTTCTAGTCCTGGAGTGTGATTCCCCCTTTATCAATTTAAATGTACGGTGAACGATACACGACTAGTTCACCTTTCATATTGGGTTGCGTTTCCTGTGATATTTTCTATCCCTTTTGTTTCTCTGTTGACTATTGATCCAGTGTTTGTTTGAATTTCAGTTGGATATTAATAAATTATAAAATAATAAATTTTAATTATAATTGATTGTATTATAACGTAACTTATTTGAATATTATTTTTTTAAAATTAATTTTAATAAAATTGAAGATGTTTGGATAATTTATTTAAAATTAATTTTAGTTGTATAAATTATTATAAAAGATATTAATTTTTAAAATTAAATTATTAATAAATTGTATCTAATTATATTGAATTTGTTTTGAAATGAATTATATTTTTATTAAATTTTATATCTTTTTTATAATTTTTTCTTGAGTCTTTATTTATAATTTCCCCAATGACTTTGATCAACTTTTCTCCAGATGCTCACAAATATAGCTTTCAAAAAAAATTAATTTTAACACTAATAACTGATTAATGATAAAATCTACTGTTTGAATATTTTTTTAGTTAATCGATTTTTTCAGCAAAAAAATCGATTATTTGCCTAACCAAACAGGCACTTACTGATTATTTGTTTCTCCTTTCCTCGGTCTTCCGTTTAGAGGGACAGTGTAGCCTTGTAGGGGTGATTTGGCGGGTTTTCGCCTTTTTCAAATTTTTCACTTCCACGTGTTGGTGGTGCATGCCCTCATTAGGGAAATTTGAATGTGGGTTGCGGTTGATTTGCCATTTCCTCCCATTTGTGATCTGTGGGTGTGTCATGTTTGTCGCATGGCGTATTCTAGTCATATTTTGGGGTTATCGTCCTGTCTTCATCAATCGTGCGTTGTTGGCTGTCTTCTCTGTTGACACCCAGTGGGTTTCTGGCTCTTGATGTCGTCAGGTTCGGCAGATGATGGCGTTTGTCCACAGTGATATCTGTTTAGTCCTTATTCTCCGACGTTCGGCCTGTTGTTGTCGGTTGCCGTGAGTGTTTGTGTTTCCCCGTTTAGTGTTTTGGCATCGCATCTTAATTTTTAGGTCCACGAGTTTGGGGGAGTTGTTCGGGTCACCATTCGCAGGGTGCTTACTCCTCAGTTGTCGGAGGTTTTGGTCAGCATCTATTGGTTGCGCCTTCTTATTTGTGCTTCGTTGTTGATATGATTTCCCCCCCCCCCCCCAAGGTTATGATGCTTAGGGTAACGCTTCTGTGCATGAGAATAGGCAGGGTCATCAATCGTTGCTCTTTTCAAACAAGAGATTCCCTCTCAAGCGGCGTGTCGATTTCTTTTCTCTTTTGCGTACAGAGGAGAATCTCAACGGAGTTCATGCTATGTTGAATGGCGGGTTACTGAATTTTTGGTGGGTCTTTCTGTTTCACAGTGCTGTTAACGTTGGATTAGGTTGTGATATGTCCTTCCTTTGTCTTTGCTTGCTGCAGGTGGCCAGAGTCCAGGTCACCTGCTAATGGCAGCGATGACAGGTGTGTCTTCGGTGATTGTACCACTTGAAAACTTTGCTGGTAAGGGGATTTCGTTTCTGCTACCATTTAGTGTGTTGTTTTGTTTTCTGTAATTTCCGGTATTGAATATGGAAGTGCTGCTGGAAGTTTTTATTTCCATGATTGTCGTTACTAACTATATAAATTAACTACATAAAATAAAGACTTAGTATAAGACATAGGAGCTCAAAACTTCATCCAAGGTTATTAAATTCGAGTCCCCAATAACACTATTCTCTTCTTCCAAGGTTATTAAATTCATTCAGAATGCGTCCCCAATTTGTTTCCTAACGATTTCTTTCTCTTTATTTATTTATTCTTCCATGTAATGGTGATTTTATAACATGGGGATATCACCTTCAAATCCTATATTTTTTTAATGTGATGATGCTTATATAATATGCAAGAACATTCAAGATTTCAGCTTAGGGGAGAACATTGGATGAGATGCACAAGTCTGATGTAAGGTGGTTGAGGAAAACTGGTTTAATATGATTTACCAAAATATTTGCTTTTGTATCTATAATGGAATTCAACTGTTTTGTTTCATACTATGGATTTAAATTACTTGATGTCTCATCTATATTGTCTTGTGAAAAGTAGTATGATTTTTAGTTGTTGCACATCCAACTAAATTATTCTTTGACATTGAAAGACATTTAAACATTTTAAACTAAGGAAACTCATTAGCCAACTAGAAACTACTATGAATATGGTCAGTATTTGTGATCTCATAATATATATATATATATATATATTTCTAGACTAATTGGTTATAGAGTATGGTTTTCATGACTTGAGGGTTTCCCTGAAAGGATTTATATGAATGGGTATGTGCACAGGTCAATGTTATTAAGACTCACATCTAAATATTGAAGCATTAAAATGGTTTAGGGATGGGGACTAAGGCAAATTGTTGTAACATCCTTGTATTATGTCAATTTGATGGTTTAACAAATTAAGATTTGTCAATAATGAGTTTCTTGATTAAAGTTTGAAGCAAGTTGGATATGGGGAATTTCTTACTATTTTGATAACATGTTGACTATATCATGGCAGGTCTACTTTATTGATTTTGCTCTTAGAAAGAAGTTTGAAAACATGTCTTAGATATATACAATGACTGACATAAAACAGGTTTGTGCGCTCATTGCTATCACTTTGATATTTTCTTTCAATTATTGTCAGTTTAATAGGTGCTTGTAGATTTCAAAAGTGTGAAAAACCTTTTGGTGGAT